GTCCCGCCTGTACGTCTAACGCGAACTCTCCGTCTAGCTCGCTTGCACACGAATAACCATCTCTTCTCTCTTCCTAAAGCTAACCCTTTGACCTTTCTCTTCTCTATTCTTTTCCTTTTCTTGGAACTCTCCCCTGCCTCGAATTGCCTCAAGGGGGCTCCATCCTCCATCATGGCTTTCCCTTTCCCTTTCGGGCTGGTTAGCGATAAAGCCTGCGCGGGCCTGGGCCTAAACAGCTTTAACCTAGCGCCCGTCACTGGGTCCTTCCACTTAGATCCATCCAATTCTGCTATCATATATGCACCCCAGTCGAGTGCCTCAACCACTCTGTAAGGTCTCATCCATCTGTTGGCGAGTTTTCCGGTCCAGGTTCTTTSCAGCGCTGCATCGTAGAGAAGGACCATATCTCCTACGCTCACCCTCTCTTTCCTGATTCGCACGTTCTTATCCCATCTCTCTTTACCCTTGTCCCTTTCCACTACCAGACGATCTGCCGCTGTCCTGAGGTCATCTTCCAAACCGTAGGCTATTTGTCTCGTTCGGGCAGCTAAGAGTTCCTCTCTGGACATCTCCTCCACCCAGTCGACGGTTGTCCAACTGTCGATGTGAAACTCTATGGGAAGCGGACAATGTCGCCCAAACCACAAGGTGTACGGTGGGTATCCGGTACTAGCCTGGACCGTGACGTTGTCCGCCCATATTGCATATCGAAAATATCGTGGTCAATCACTGTCCTTACCCTTGCACCACTTGGACAGTGACGCTATCAGAGTCTGGTGTCCCCTCTCTACTGGAGAGTTCAACTGTGGGTGATCGGCGGTGGCTATCGAAACTCTCGCACCGGCTCTCCTAAACACGCTCTGAACCTCGTCGGCTAGGAATTTCGCCCCTCTGTCCATCACTATCTTGCTGACACAACCATACCTAGACTCTAGGACAAAGTTCTTTACTTCCTATGCCGCCTTACTCCTGATAGGTCTACCGTCCACGAACCCAGTGAAATCGTCTCGTATGTTCACGACGTAGTTCATATTGCCTACCCCTCTCGGCATTTTTACTAGATCGATGTGTACCTTCTCTCCTGGTCTGGTCGGATAGGATGGATGAAGTGGCTCTTTGTATTTCACAAGAGCTCTCTTCTGACACTCTTCGCATGTCATACAGTACCTCTCGACGTCCTTATACTGTTCATCTCATCAGTACAGCCGGCGTATCTTTTCGTAGGTTCCTTTAACTCCCCTGTGTCCTCTGACTACCCCATCGTGAAGTTCCGCAACTATCGTCTGTCTCTCCTCAGGATCACAGACTACTCGTAAGGCATTCCCGACCCTATTGGCCTTCGGAAAAGGTGGTCCGCTCTAAGGCAGTACTGGGCTGCTTGCCTCCGGATATCTGAATCTTAACTCTCCTCTCCCGTCAGGTGTAGTCCGATCATTCGGTACTTGCCCTCGTAAAGATTAACTAGAAATCTCTCGCCGCGTCTCGGCTCTGCCATTGTCAGAGTCCCATCTACTATCGGACGCTCGAGAGGGATGCGTGAAAGTCCATCTGCCACGGCATTTTTAGTACCAGATATTCTCTCAACCGTGTAATCGTATAGCCAAATCCGTATTAACCATCGGGCGATGGTCGGGTCCGTCAGAYTAAAGTCCTTCTGGAGGACAGAGGCAACCGTGGTGGGGTCTACTCTCAAGATGAACCGTCGCCCATAGATATAGTGTCTGAACATGTCTAGACACCGGACAACAGCTAACACTTCCTTCTTGAATTGACTGTAGTTACGCTCAGCCGTATTAAGTGTCCTACTCCCAAATCTTAACGGTCTTTCCTTCCCTCCAGCGTCCTTTTGAGACAGCAAACCACCCACTGAACATGGTCCAGCATCCGTGGATACTATGAATGGTCTTTCGGTCTCATCGTCAAAGAATGGCACACCCAACACGCGTCCTCCTTCCTTAAATTCGTCTTTAAATACTTGCATAGCAAGTTCCTGCGAAGAATTCCAATATAAGTTTTCTGTCTTTCGAAGGAGTAACCTCAATGGCTCAGCCTTCTCCGCATACCCCCGTATGAATATACGCCAGTAACCGACCACTCCTAGAAACTGCCGGACCTCGGTTGGACTATGTAACGGTGAGGGCTAGTTCAGAAGTTTGTCTAACTTCGCCGGATCTGCTCGGCGTCCTCTTCCAATAGAAGTTTTCAGTCTTTCGAAGGAGTAACCTCAATGGCTCAGCCTTCTCCGCATACCCCCGTATGAATATACGCCAGTAAC